CTTTTTGATGAATTGTTATTTTTATTATTACTTAATGTCCATTTTGCCCCCTCCGTTAGTGCTCTTTTTCATAAAGTCTACGATGTATGTGTACATATATTCTTTTAGGTTCATCTAAATATGTGGCTTTTCTGCAGATCTGTAATATTCTATCTAATATAGGTACCTGAAAAACATATTTTTAGCATTTCTTTTATACAGGAGATGAATTATTTTACCTTTTTGTTTATTGAGACTGTATTTTGTCTGTGTTTACTTTTTGAACGATGTTTTTGCTTAATATAGAATCCTATAACTCAGAACTTTAGGCACATTACATCACTTTCTGGTCTACATTGTTTCTGGTGAGAAGTCAGCTGTCATTTGTAATGTTGCTTTCCAACATGTAATATGTCTTTTTTATTTGGATTTTTTTTCAAGATTTTCTCTGTGATTTTGTTTGACTTTTGTTAAATTGACTACAATGTCCCTAAGTATGGTTTTCTATGTATCATTGGGTTTTTTTTCCCTCTTTTGTGTATGCTGAGCTTCTTAGATCCATGGGTTTATGTCTTCTACATTTTTGGAAAACATCTGGACATCACCATTCAAAACACTGATCTTCTCATTTTTCCTACTCTCTCCTTCTGGGGCTCTATTTAAATATATGTGCAACCACTTGATATTATTTCATGTATCTTGGATGCTCTGTTCTCTTTCCTTCTTTTTTTTTTCTGGTTATTTTACAAAGTTCATTTTTGTAGTTTCAGTTTTTGCACTGAAAATTTCTCATTTCTTCATGCACACTGTCTACCTTTTCCAGGAGATACATTTATATTTCACCATAACCATTTTAAAGTCCCTTACTGTTAATTCCAACTGCTACAGCCTCTCTGACTATGCTTTTATTGACTGCGCTTTTATTGACTGCTTCCACTTTTAATGGGAAATAGTATTTCCTTGCTTTTTCATATGTCTTGCACATTTGATTGCATTTCAGGCCTTTTGTATCATAGAGTAATATTTACCTTCAGAAAGGGACATTTTCCTTCTTCTGTTAGTCTACCTAAGTGGGTGGTAAGTTAATTAAATTTCTGGCTCAACTGGTTCTTGGCTAGTTTGCAGCTTCAGTTTGGCTTCAAAATTTCAAGGGGTAAATGATTAGAACTTTGTTTTCAGCAGTGCTTTAGTTGTGGACAATGACAAAATTCGTAGACCTGCCTTTGCTTCACAAGGAGGCTACATATCTTTGAGTGTTCTGACTCTGCTGGCTTTTGATATCCAACATATGTCTTGCCATTTGTTGGAAACCTTTGCTGTCTTCAACTCTGTCACTTCAGCCCAGTTAGGCCAAATAAAACTTTGTTCTTCAGCAGCATCTTTTGCCAGAGTAAAGGTTTTTATCTTACCCCCTTGCCCCCATCCAACATAGAAAATAACTGCAAAGAAAAAGCTGCTGCAAGATTCAGATCACCTCCACTTAAATTCTGCCCTGCCTTGGATATTAATCCATCTATTTCTCATTTCTTCATTTGCTCATCAAGTCTTTAAACAGAAAATTTTAATCTACCTTTTCCCATCATTTTCAGATTATTTGCCTACTGCAACAATTCCCTTTTTCTTGGAAGAATTACTGGTTTGTTTTTCAAAATTGCTCAATTTTTCCTTGCAAGCTGAACCCTCAAAAGAATGATATGCTATCATTATTTATGTGTTACTTATATGTTATAAGTGTATAATATCACAACTATGTCAGATACAACCATCATTAAAAATAGTATTCTTTCCCTTTAAAATGTTTGAAACTTTATTGTATCATTATAAATTGCATAGAATTAATGCTTCCTTTTCATGTTGAAACCATTATGACAGATAATTGATATTGTGGCTGTAAAATATTTTACACTTTGAGAGGCCAAGGCAAGGTGATCATTTGAGGCCAGGAGTTCAAGACCAGCCCAAACAACCTAGCAAGACCCCATTTCTACAAGCAGAGAGCCAAATCATGAGTGAACTCCCATTCACAACTGCTACAAAGAGAGTAAGATACCCAGGAATACAACTAACAGAGATGTAAAGAACCTTTTCAAGGAGAACTGCAAACCACTGCTCAAGGAAATAAGAGAGGACACAAACAGATGGAAAAACATTCCATGCTCATGGTTAGGAAGAATCAATATTCTGAAAATGGCCATACTGCCCAAAAGTAATCTATAGATTCAATGCTATCACCATCAAGCTACCATTGACTTCACAGAACCGGAAAAAACCACCTTAAATTTCATATGAAACCAAAAAAGAACCTGTATAGCCCAGACGATCCTAAACAACAACAACAACAAAAAGCTGGTGGCATCACGCTACCTGACTTCAAGGTATAATACAAGGCTACAATAACAATAACAGCATGGTACTGGTACCAAAACAGAGATATAGACAAGTAGAACAGAACAGAGGCCTCAAAAATCATGTCACACATTTACAACCATCTGACCTTTGACAAACCTGACAAAAACAAACAAAAGGGAAAGGATCCCCTGTTTAATAAATGGTGTTGGGAAACCTAGCTAGCCATATGCTGAAAGCTGAAACTGGATCCCTTCCTTACGCCTTATACAAAAATGAACTCGAGATGGTTTAAAGATTTTAAAATAAGACCTAACAGCATAAAAACTCTAGAAGAAAACCTAGGCAATACCATTCACAACATAGGCCTGGGCAAGAACTTCATGTCTAAAACACCAAAAGCGATGGCAATAAAAGCCAAAATAGACAAATGAAATCTAATTAAAGAGCTTCTGCACAGTAAAAGAAACTATCATTAGAGTGAACCAGCAATCAACAGAAAAAATTTTTGCAATCTACCCATCTGACAAAGGGCTAA